GACACAGGAGAGATGTTCTGCTAAAGCAAGCACATGAAAGGACACATGATGAAGGATTCTTTGTTAATGACACGCATGTATTGGTCTGCCTTACATTGTGTAGATGAATTGCATTTGTCAGGACTCCATAGAGAGAAACGCATCAAAAAAAAAAAAAACCTTCTGGTGGTGTGCTGTAGTTTCTTGCTGCTTCTGCAGACTCAGGCTGATTGGCAGAGTGATGTCAGCTGAGACAGACACATGTGCTGAGGCAAGACCTGTGGAAGACATGCAGTGTTTGGAGGGTATTAAATAGGACTTGGCAGACTGTGACAGAGGCTGAGCTAGGCTTGCTTGTAGAGCTAGCTGTGCAAAGTTTGTGGGTCTCACATCTTCGCTGATCTTCTGCTTCCCTGAGAAAGACACAGCCAAGAACTTCTCCTGGCATTCCTCCTGGGCTGACTCTGCTTGGTTTATCACCACTGTTGCTAACCCAACTCTACCGAACTGGACTGCTGTTGTATCTGTGAAGTATTTACAGGTGGATCATGTTGCCGCTGCTAGCCTGTGAGCAGAACTGACTTCCAGACAGATGGGAGTTGTTTCAAAGAACCTTTCTAAACAGGTCCACTTCCCACCCCCTCGCCCTGCCCCCCATAGCCTTTAGAAGGGAGGTAAAGCATTTAAGAACCATCATTAAAAAAAAAGATTTTAAAAAGTTAAAGTTGCAGTAGCCCATGGAATGGAGCTGCCTACAGGTGGGGCTTGCCTTCTCAATGAATCTCATTTTGATAATCCCTGACTGTGAAACCTAGAGGCTAATCTAATCTAGACAACTCCTCCTTGGTGAACCCAGATCCTGTCAAGCTGACAGACAACGGTAACTGGGACAGAGTGCTTCTCAAAACTAAAGCAAACCAAGTGTAGCTAGCGGCACCCACCTGTGAGCCTAGTAAAGGGAAACTGAGTCAAGTGGATTCTGAGCCAAAATGAACCCAGGTTTCACCAGCTAGACCTTGTCTCTCAGTAAAATGAACAGCTGCAGTGAATGCCAGATTGTCATCAGTCAGGGTATTATCTGCCTAGAAGACCCTACGCAACTCAGCCTGTGTGTGCCTGGCCATGCACCTCACTCAGTGCCAGCACTGGCTTCCCTGTGGCTCCTCAAACATCCTTGTGAATCACTGTCTAGTCTTTCCAGCTGCTCTTCTCCTGTCCTCCCTAGATGTCCCCATAGCTTACTTCATGACCCAGAGACCCCTTATCCAGATCCCAGCTATGCCTCAGGTTTTCCCTGACCTATTTAAAATGTCCCCTGCCCCCCTCTTATTTCTTCACATGTATCTCCATGAACACGCATACTCCTTGTTTGCTTCTATGCTTGCTTGTTTGAGACAGGGCCTCATGTAGACAAGGTTGTCCTCGAACTCCAAATCCTCTCCCATCTTCACCTCCCAAGTGATGGGATGGCTGGCATGTAGCATGGCATCCAGTCTATATTTTTCACCTTCAAAAAATGTTATTGGGCAAGCAAGAACACCTGTCATTCTTCTGGAGGCCTGGGTTCAGTTCCCAACCCCCATGGGGGCTGTCCCTTGAAATGGCGCTGGTTTGGAAACTGCGGCTAGGGATAAGTGAGGTAAGAGGCCGCACGGCTGCCAAGCAGCTGAGACCTTCATATGTTGGCATCTGTGGTCAGTTCAACTTCACTGCATACAGCAGAGGATCCAGCAGCTGAGAGGTGCTTCTGAGCAAGTTGCAGGAAGAGACAAGCTTGGAGCAAGCACACATTTTCAGGGGTGAAGGGCTAATCAGGAGGGCTGCTCCCAGGGTAGAGAAGACAGAGAGGGGCAGGGAGCACATAAATAAATCTTAAAGTGGATCTCACTATGTAGGCTCTGGTGGCTAGCCTGGAACTCTCCTATGTAGACCAGGCTGACCTCAAATCTGCCTGCTTTTGCCTCCCAAATGCTAGAATTAAGGGCATTCATTAGCACACCCAGCGCCATCTTATTTTTTTAAGAGAGGGTCTCTCATTGAGCTTGAAGCTCACTATTCTGGTGAGGCTGGCTGGCTAGTGAGTTCCCAGGATCCACTTCCCCCTTGCCCAACACTCTGGTTATAGGCATACGTGGCTGGTTTCACATGGGTGCTGGGGACTTGGTCTACATGGGTGCTGGGGACTTGGTCCTCATGGTTTTCTAGCAGTTGCTCTTACCCACTGAGCCATCTCCTCAGCTTTGCCGTTCTTTCTGCTCACACAATGTTACTGCAGAGCTTCAACAGTATACGTTGTGACTATAGACAGCCACCTGGCTCTCGTGCTCCATGCCCTAAGACCTCTCACGAGACTGGAGTGGATGTGAGTGGGGTGGGCAAACCACAAAAACAAGAGATTCTCAACCCTCCCTAATAACAACCCCCTCCACCCCACGATGCTCAGCTACTCTCACTCTAGGAATACCCACTAGCAAACAGGGGCCTTCCCCGTTCTGTGCCCTTAACTATCCCAAACATTAAGAAAATACCGATTTAAATATTTGTGTGTGTGCTGGGCAAGGTAGTGCATTTAATCCCAGGGCTCAGGAAGCCAAGGCAGGTGGAGCTCTTTGAGTCTGAGGCTAGCCTGGCCTACAATGTGAGTTTTGAGGCATTGTCAAAGGTATCTGGAGAAAACCCTGTCTCAACACAGCTTCTCTGTAAAAATTATCCTATTTATGTGTGTGCGCACACATACCACGGTGCCCATGTGGTAATTGGAGGGTTACTTGGGGTGTCGGTTCTTCTATGGAGGTTTGGGGATCAAACTCAGGTCATCAGGCTTGGCAGCAAGTGCATTTACTGAGGAGAAACATCTCACTAGCCTCTCCCAGATTTCTTGAGTCAGCACAGGACTGGCTCAGGTTCACTGTGCCCCCACTCCCCCCACCCCAAAAGGGCTGCCCTTCCCAGACCACATCCTGACCTGCCACTGTAGGCTGGGATCTCATCGCTTCAGTCTGCTGGGCAAATCACACCCCACCCTACCCCATCCTCCCACTCCCTCCTCCTTCTCAGTGCCTGCAGCTGCCTCAAAGCCTGGCAGGCTGTGCAGTGACTTCCAGCTTGCATTCCCTTGTGGTTGGGCCAGTTTGGCAAATCTCTTGGGCTCTCCCCCTCTCCCCCTCCCCCCCTCCCCTGACTGGAGCAGAGTCCCCCCACCCCCACCCTCAAGGACCCAGAAGAACCAGAATAGATGTCCACAGTAACACCAAGGTTTTCCTAGAGGAGACATTAAAGACCACATGGCAGATCTACCTCCTGAAGTCACTAAGAATGGGGTTTCTGCTCTACAGACCTGGTCTCTAGAAGGCTCTCATCTTTCTAGATAACTTTGGCTTGGTACTATCTCCCAGAGACACAGGTTCAGGACCTCCCTTTCTGTGCTCTTTGGGGTAAGATCTTCACTGGCTCCTGTGTTTTTCCAGTAGGTTAGGTAAGAAGGGTGAGTTAAGGGGTGAAAGGCATGGCCTGGGATATCCTGCACCTGTCAATCTGGCTTTTAGACTCTCCCTCCTGTTCTCTTGTCCTGGGGACCAAGGGTCCAGGCAGGATCTACTCCATTGTTCAGAGGCCAGTCATTCTCAGAGTTCAAAAAGATGTCATGGGGGAAGAAGGCAGACACCAACTTCTTTCTTGGGAAGTCCTCCAGACAGCTAGGAGTCATAGGAAATGAGAAAAGAAAGGGGCTTAAGAGCCTCCATATGGGAACTGAAATCCACTTTCTCTGCCTTGTGACATCTCAGGGCCTGTAGTCCTGAGTGCTACCAGCCCATCCTGAAGATTAGGAGAAAGGCCCTGCCACTTGCTGGGACAGAAAACTGTTCCTGGCAGGAAGGGAAAGAATGTGGAGGCCCCAGGTGGTTTCAAGAGTTCCAAGAATCCTGTGTGGATGCCAGTCCTGCCACACCTAGGCTGCCTCCCCGCCCCCAGCATAGGACTCTAAAATATAAGGGCCCTCAAAGGCAGATGCCGTTGGGCAGCCCAGGGAAAGATAGTCTACTACTTTGCCTCTTTATCTAGCTTGGGTGTTTCTGGAAGAGCGAGCTGGCCTGTGTGGTCTAGTTCTGAGATTTTCCAGACCCTAATGCAGCCCCAGGCCCTCGAAGAAGAGGCTCAATTTACATGCCTGGTAGAAAATAGCTAGCTGTAAGGGAGAACAGGGCCTGCAAAACTGGAGGTGATGAAGGCTTGGGGCACTTTTGGGCCCCTTTAGAACCAAAGATCAGATTAGGCAGAGGAAGAGTAAACAGCTAGAGGCATGCTTGGACACCACATTTGTAGTTCTGTACTTAGGAGGCTGAGTCGGGAAGATGAGGATTTTGAGGCTAGCTTGGGTTACATGATGAGACCTTTTCTCTAACAAACGCCAGCAGCCAAAACCTAAAGAGGAATGAAGCAGTAAAATAGCAGAGAAGGTGCCAGCCACCTATTACCGGAGACTGTTCCAGCTCCAAACATGACCTTAAGGGAAACAAGACCTGTAAAGGAGGGCTCTGTGTGTGTGTGGCACCCGTGTATATATCTGTGTGTGTGTGTCACCCCTGGGCTGTGTGTGTGTCCCCTGTGTGTGAGACCCCTGTGTGTGCCTGTATGTGTCACCCCTGGGCTGTGTGTGTGTGAGATCCCTGTGTGTGCCTGTATGTGTGTGTCACCCCTGGGCTGTATGTCCTGTGTGTTCAGCACTCCTGGGCTGTGTGTGTGTGTGCACTCGTGTGCATGTGTTCAGCACCCTTGGGCTTCCAGCATCACTTCTCAGGCTCATTCCACTTCTCTGAGGTTGAAAGGGTGCTGATCTTGTTTCTTTACTTTAGGCTTACAGAAAGAAGCAAATGAAGGGTAGGGATATAACTCAGAGGTAGAACATTTGCTTAGCATGTGGCAAGGTCACAAGTTCCATCCCGTGTCATATACATCCCAGGAAAACACACACACAGACACACACACATACACTAGCATGGCAGAAAGAAGCACACAACCCAGACGTTCCTGCAGATATGTTTAATGCACTTAGATTACACGAAGGAAGAGGGACAAGTAGGAACAAAATCTAAGTGAGTCACTCAAAATTTCTTACAAAAGTCCTGAGCCAGCTGCAGCCCCAGGAACTGAGTCGCCACTGACATTAAAAACTGATATAAAAATGTACAAAAGTCTGTTCTCTGCAGCATTCAGATCTTTGTACAAAAGGAGTGGGTCTCCAAACAGGGCTCCTGACTTGTAACAGGGACCCAGACACCTCACCTGGCACCAAGATCATGGAGGCCAGAGAGGGAAGACCAGGTTAAAAAAATACAGTTGAGGGAGTTCTCTGATCTGCCCCATAGGGGCACCCAGCTTCAGGTACTCTCCCTGCTCTCAACCTCAGAACTCAGTCCCCGGACCCAGGGTCTGGGGTGTCCATATCCTGGCCCCTTTAGACTCCCCAAAGCTTCTCCAGGCCCTGTTGGAGTGTCATACTTAGAAAAGGAGGACCATGCTTCCCAAGCATGGCAGCCGGCGCTGACACCCTTTGCAGCCCACACGAGCTCCGGGAAGCTTTAGTTACAGGAAGTCAAAGTCCCTTCCTTTCAGAATCTCTGGTCCTGTGGACTTGGAAGGTTGAAGGATGGAGAAAGGCTGAGGAAGTCTGTAGTCAGGGAGGAAGACGACTGAACCCCTCCCCTTGAAAGAGCAGCTGCAGGGAGGGAAAGGAAGTGTCCCTCTACAGAGCACCAATCCCGTGTCAGGGTAAGGCCAGTCTTGCTCAATCCGATGTTAGGGTCTCTTCTTCCTGGCCGGCAGCTTCATGGTGAACCTCTTTCCCTGAGATTCCTCTGGAAGAAACCAGAGCCCAAGGGAAAGGAGGCCTGGTCAGACCAGGCTGAGATTAGCCACTCTCCTAGAGACATTATACTACAGGAATGGTGGGAGTCTGGTCCCAGCAGGAGTTTAGACATTCCTGAGGTTCCTAACAGGGTGGGGGTTGGGGGTTGGGGGTGTGGAGAGGTGGGCAGGAAAGACCTCAGGGCCTGTGAGCATCTGGAGCTTACATGCCATTCCCTGTTCCCCAGTGGAGCCACCCAAGCAAGTGGTGGTAACTACCAGTCTGCAAAGACCTTGCAGATTGAGGGCAAGTTGTTGACCGGGAGTCTCACATACTAACAAACTACCACGAACTGTGTGATGTGACACTCACAGTGGGCATGCTCATCCCCGAGCCAGACATATGGAGATAGGCTAGAATGCAGAGGGGCCCTGAAGCAGGGCTCTGGAGAGAATTAGGGAGGTGAACTATTACAACACCGGTGATGGCAAGGAACGCTGAGAGCATCTCTTGGCCCATAAACTTTCAGAAGACAAGAGCTAAAAGGGTAAGGCTGGAAACGTCCTTGTGGAAAAGTTCCAGGGCAGTATGGTGTCTGCTCCAGACAGGCTTCTATCTTGGCTGGGTAGGGTCTGCAGCCAGCCTCTCTCAGATGTTCCTTATGGCTCTGCTTCCAAGTGCTGGTTAAGCTTAGACCTAGGACATGCAGATGAGGCCAGATCAAGCCATTCCTTCAAAGACCAGTTTCTGCTTCTTTGAGACCCCAGCCAGAGTTCAAGGCCCCTGGAGGCACCCATTGTAGGGGGTGGAGGCAAACAGAGCAGGGGAGCTCTTGGAAGGTCCCTGACAGACAACATCTCTCTCCTTTGGAGACATTTGAACTTAAAGAATGAACAAAGACCATCATCCGACCTAGAGGCAGGCAAGAATGCAGAAAAGGAGCTTGCCGGTTCCAGGTCAGAAGTGGGAGATCTCTCTTACGCAGCTCTCAAATGTCCCTGGAAGGCAGGCAGATCTGCAGTCCTGGAGGTGAGAGCACGGTACCCACAAGAGGGCCAGGCTGCAGGAAGAGACAGGGACAGAAGATAGGTACAGAATAGATATGAGAAAGATGAATGGCCACAGGGAGCAGTATCAGCAAAACAAAAGGGAGAGCTGTGGAGAGGTTGACTGCCAGTCCAGGGGGCTGGGCCGCCAAAGGATGGGGGAATCAAGGAGCTGGAGGCCCTGAGCAGAAGGCTGGGGAGGCAGTGGGCTTTACTCTCTTCTTGGGAGGCCTGGTTGGGTAAAAGGACTGGAAGACATAGCAAGGGCCACCATGTCCTTGAGCCCCCAGAGTCTTGTAGAAGCCTACTTCACTTGGAAGGCAGTGGCAGCCCTTCCAGGCCACAGAAAAATCTGTACCCAGGGCTGCGTGGAGTATGTCAGCTGTCCCAGCCTCCTCCAGGGTCCAGAGCTGACAGGCAGCACCAAGCATCTTTTCAGGAAGAGGGTATGTGGGATCAGGGGGAGAGAGCAGAGCCCCCAGACCCTTGTCTAAGAGAACAATAAAGTCCATCCAGGAATGAGTCCTGTTTAAACATCGCTATATACATGGCTTCTGGACCATCTTTGCTGAGCAATAAAAATACCATCCGGTTTCCACAACACACTGAGGAAAGAAAAAACAATTGTTCTGCGGGGTGGAGCAGCCTGAGGAAAAGCTCGCTGGGGCTGACCAGGCCGTGCGTCCTCACGTGTGTTCTGCACACCAGGCCGTATGGCAAGCATGTCTTATCCCAGGAGTGCACCAATGAGATCTGTGGCCGCAGCCGGTGGGTGGAGAGGGTGTGCAGGTGCACCCTCACTCGCTCACTGCCATGAAGGACAGGGGCCTGGTCACATGGGCTTGGTTGCTAGGACTGAGGCCCCTGAGCCTGAGGTGGGTGGGGCCTGTGATGGGCGTGGCACTTTGCAGTCATCCCCACACTTGCCCTTTTATTCATGGGTGTCTCCTTTACAAGCTGTCACACTGGAAGTCACTGGGAGCAGCTGGGCTCCTCTTGGCCCCTGCAGGGCCTAGCCCAGGCTAGTGCAGTGGACTGTCGAACACCACGTCGGGGAGGATGGACACTTTGAGCTTCTTCTCAGGCCAGTTGTACTCTTTGGGAAGTTTAAACTGTGAAGACAGCAAGCAGAGTGGTTAGCTGCCTTCTAAGAGAGTGTCCAGAGAGAGGCAGCACACTGGCCCACACCCTGTCCCTAGGCTGCTGGGGACAAGACAGGCTACTGGAGACTTCTCAAAGGCCAGACTCGGTGCACACAAGCGTGTGCTCACCACGCGTGCGGCTGGTCCAGTGCTCCTTTCCTCTGGCTCTGCCTGTAACTCAGGCTGCAGAGGGCAAGCTTTGGCTCTTTGCATAGACTTTCTCCTGCTCTTTTCCTTGGTTCTGCCTCGAGCCAAAATCACGTAAGGAACCTGTTCCCTGGGGCCTTGGGGCTGGAGGATAGGAGACCAGCAGAGAGTAGATTTTACAGGAAAAGTCTGTCATTGCCATGGACTCTTTCTGAGTCTAGAATCTGCCTTCCAGAGCTTTGTCAGAGGGTCCACAAAGAAACTGCTCAGCCCCCAAATCAGACCCTGCTGGGAGAAGTACGGAATGAAGGCGGTCTGTGCGCATCCTGCACATCCGCAGAAGGGAACTTCCTCACTACCCGTCACCCTGCTTCCCAGGGCTCTTTGTTCAGACTGACCCCAGATGAGAGGCAAGGTCTTCCAAACTAGAAATCAGTGGCTGTCTTGTAGTTTTGTTTCTCTCCCTCACCTGGGGTTTTTGCTTAGGAGAGGAGGAGAAGCTGACTTCTTGTTCCTTCTGGGTTCTAGAACCTTGTATGGAGCCTAGCGCACAGCAGTGCTCAGTAGGTTCTCCCTGACTTGGGTTAGTGCAGGGGTTTGAACTCCCATTGTCTCTGGGCTAGGCTGTAAGTCAGAGCCAGGCACAGAAGGAGGGAATCATGTTCCGGTCTGAGGCTGGGCTGGAGGTGGACCAACTGACACTTCCTGGCAGGCACCCTCTGCCTTTTCTCTTGGGGGACTGTAGACCCAGGACAAAGTGGAGACTGGGGCAGGGTGTGGGGATGGCCTCTGGACAGGAAGAGGCAGAAGAAGTAATTTTTCGTGACCTACTTTCCTAAGCTCCCCTTGGCTCCTGTCTCTCCTGCCTGGACTGTCCTCTTCCCGCCCACTCAACACCCAAGCTCAAAGCAGCAGCTTGGCATAACGCCACTCAGTGTGACAAGACCTCTCCGGAAGCACTTCTGGGCAGCTGTCTTTGGACTGACTGAATCGGGGAGCTAGGCCTCTGAGGCAGTGACTTGTAGGGTGAGTGGCTGGCACACAGTGGGTCCTTGATAACCTTGGACTACGCAATTGAATAAATTGATCAGGCTGGCTCCCTGGGGCAGGGCAGGGAAGGCACGGCTGCTGGGGTGACCAGCCCTGAGGACTTTCTATCTATGGGGGGGGGTACTTTGCCTCAGGCACTTTAGGGCAATGGAAGGGAAAGGGCAGTCTCTGCCACAGGCAAGGGAGGGAGGGCCAGAAGGGCCTTCAGGCCTAGGAAGCCGGCTATTTATCCCACCACCCCAAGGGTCCCTGGGGCAGGAAGGCCTGCCTGCCTGCTGCCTCGGTGTTGGTTATAGGAGGCAGCAGGAAGGGAAGGGACTTTCCAAGATGAGGCAAGTCCTGCAAATGAGGAGAGCAGGAACAAGGAAGAAAATCAAAAGGGATTATGGACTCCATTCCTGTACTCCAGAGAAGCCGCCAAGGGGAGAAATAACCCACCTGGCCTGCCAGCTCCTCAGGCTGAGTTAGCCAGGAAGAGGCTAAGAGAGGCAAACTTTAGCTCGAGAAGGAAGGGAGTGTGGCTCTTGGGTGGCCCAAGGCAAGAGCAGGAGTCCCCTCCTGCCCACTAGAACTCCCCAGTGGAATGTTCTCTGGCAGCAGACATGGGCTTTCTGTTCAGAACCTGCCAGGGAACAGCAGGGGCTGGGGAGAACTCTAGCCTGAAGGCCCTGGCTACTTCTTCAATGAGATTCTCAAGAGCTGGTGACTGAGTGTGCTGGGTGTCCTCACAAGGGTGGAGGCAGGGCAGGTTCATGAAATACAAGAAAAAGAAAGTCATTTAACATTCTCAGGGACTTCTCTCCAGATTATCCCTGTACTTCAGATGGGTGAACACACACAAACACACACACACACACACACACACACACACACACACACACACACCCCATGCAGATCCATGTTCTTACACCCAGGAGCCCTCTATCAGTGAGAAATGAAATAGGCTCACTTCCTCTGGAGATGTTAGATCTTCTAAGTCCTCCAACATTTTCTCTACAAACTCTTCTGTCAACAGAATCTGGAAAAGAAAGCAAAAGGCAGGTTTTTATTTAAAAAAAAAAAAAAGTCTTTTTTTGCCAACTGCAAATCTAAGGGTGTTTCTTTTAGCTGTGGAGGTGGGATGACCCACTGGTTAGTTCTAGGACAGAGGGAAGTACTTGAGGTTTTCAGAAAAGACTGCACTCTCAGTGCCTCCCACCACCTGCTTGGAATACCGGCTAGAGAAGGGCAGAGAGGTGGGGCGGAGGCAGTGGAGAAGGGATGGCATCTGGAAGGTGGGCAGTGCCGGCCTCAGAAGGGAGCTGCAAGGTGGGTGGAAACCCACTTCTTTGGGCTGTTTGGCCTCCTGTGTGTTGCAGGGCAACAGAGAAGGACAGGAAAGCCGAAGGCCACAAGAGAGCTCTTGCCAAGGTCTTTCTTTGCCTGATCAAGATCACCACCCCCTTCTCCCAACCATGTAGGACAAAAGGAATCCACTTGACTTTAGCGTACAAGCTCTGTCTGGGATTTAGAAGCACCCCAGTGGTGGAGTACAAGTCCTGGATCCCATCTCTACCACTGGGGCAGGGAAGCAGGTAACAACTGGACAAAAAAAAAGACCAAAACCCCTGAACCTTGGAGACCGAGAGCCTGCCTGGCTTTTCACAGAGGCGGGTGGACCCTCTGCTTCTCACTGCAACCACAGAATTCTCTGTCAGGGCTGTCCCAGCAGGCCTCAGTCAGCAGCTACCTACTTGTAGGCTTCTGAGATACCTCTTCTCTGGGTGTCTACCCTCCCACTCTGCTGCTTTATTCTGACGCCTGTTACCCACAAGCTTTGGTGTCCAAGCCAATGATCCCCACCACTTAGCTGGATTAACTGTCACCCTCACGCCCTAAGCAAGCTTTCTTATGCTCCCCCATGTTCTTCCTGTCTTTGCTCCTCCATCCTCCCTGCCCTTGTCCAGGGGCCTCTCCACTTCTCTGGCAGACCCTGTGCCATACATAGAGGGTACAAAAGAAAGGCTTCCTCTCAGGGAAACCCTCCCTTTTAGAAGGTGGAGAATCAAAAATTTGAGAAAATACCCATTAAATTTCCCTTGGGAGTTGATCCACTGTGAGGGCAGAAGTTTCCATGAGTTAAAGTGAGGAAGGAAGGAAGGAAACAGCAACGAGGGGTAAAGGGACCTGGAAGATGGAGGTACACAAGGACCAACAGCAGACACCATGTTGACTGCTCACACTTTATCTCTTTCAGTCTCCTTCCAGATGGAGAAACTGAGGCACAGAGAGGTTATGGTACCTGTCCTGTCTTGGCTTGAAACTTGATGCCTTAGTCATTGAGGTGAGGACACTGCCTCACTCGTATTGTCTCCTCCTAGGACACGCAAGCCTGGTTCCACTCAGCTAGCGGCTTAGTGGCTCCCTAGAGGAACAGGACCTGCCTTCACCAAACAGGAGAAAACAGCACTGACCAGGAATAAAGGAAAGAGAGGAAGGAGGGAGGGAGGGAGGGAGGGAGGGAGGGAGGGAGGG